GAAAGAGAGAAATTAGTTTATTACTAATCAGTTATCTTGATTGCAGGAGAGATATGACCAATTGTTCAGTGACCATTCAAAATTACAACAGAACTGAACAACTAGTTCAGTGTTTCTCAACCTTGGCCACTTGAAGATGTCCGGATTTCAACTCCCAGATTCCCCCAGCCAGCATGGCTGGCTGGGGAATTCTGGGAGTTGAAGTCCCGACATCTTCAAGTGGCCAAGGTTGAGAAACACTGAACTAGTTGTTCAGTTCTGTTGTAATTTTGAATGGTCACTGAACAATTGGTCATATCTCTCCTGCAATCAAGATAACTGATTAGTAATAAACTAATTTCTCTCTTTCTTCCAGAGCTTCCTTTCACCTGTGGCTTTTGGGTTCGGTGCAGAATACCTGTCACGCTATGAAGAACAAGGACTTGGATTACAGTGGAATAATATCCGAAGTAGTCCACTGGAAGGAGATAAATACAGCTTCTTGTTGTCTATGGTGATAATGGTTTTTGATGGCTTTGTCTATGGATTGCTTGCTTGGTACTTGGATAATGTCTTCCCAGGTATGACCAACAATGTGGTCTATGGTTGTGTGGATTTTTTTTTCTGCTCTGCTACTATCTCTGCTACTTTCATACCTATCTCTGCTACTTTCTCTGCTACTTTCATACAACTGAGAACCCCTGACCCGACAAATGCGCGCATGACAAAAGCGCGCCGACAAAACCGCAGCGCTAAAACCGCAATGTCATCAACGCGACGTCATCAATGCGGCGACAACAGCGCGCTGACCGAAGCACGATTTAAGTTAAAGTAAGGGTTAGGTTTACGTTTAGTTTTAGGGTTAGGGTTAGGGTTACAGCGCGCTTCTGTCGCGTCGCTGTTGTCGGCACGCTTCAGCGCTCATTCGTCGGCGCGCTTTAGAACTTGCGGTTTTGTCACCGCGGTTTAGTCGGGCGCGCTTTTGTCGTACGCCCTTTTGTCGGCGAACCCCGAGGACCAACAAGACTAAATATCTCATGTCTCAGAATTTGTCTAATCAACTACAATGGAGGTAAATGCAAAGTTATGTGATAGATATCAGCTTATTCGATAGGCGTCTCCTTATTCTCCTCCTCTCCTCTAATCAGATTCTTGCTCTCAGATTCTGTCAGGAATGTTTCTAACATGGTTTGGTTATTTTCAGTATGGTTTTCTAGAAGGGCTAAATATGTAGAATCATATAGATGTTGATATTTCCCATTTTCAAATGTGAGATTGTTTTGACATTTCAGGTTAAGTCAGCGCCTTAAATCCTAACTTCTCTTCGTGGGAAAAGGTTTGCCTGCCTCTCGTTTTAAATGCAGGTTTTTTTCTTCTTGTGAAAAGCTGCTTCATGGAGCTGAGGAATCTTGAGAACAATATAGGATACGGCTTTGAAGTCCGTTAACAGGAAGTGGGATCCTGTCTTCCTCTCCCTCCCCTAATGGGAGTGACATCTTTGAATCCATATCATTATGCTTATACCGTAATTGTGGGATAAAAGATCTGTGTAATACACTTATAGTCAAGATACTAATTGAAATGTTTAAAGTCTAGTGGCAAATTCCAGAGTTTAAACTTTGTGTTAGCAACAAGCAATTCATCAATATTTTTTTTATAACCTTATATTCCAAAAGATCGCGACCTCTAATGTTACGGTAAAGCATTATCTAATCTCATGCCCTCTGTATATATCGGATTATAATTTTCACTAATCTTAGGCATCATGCACAATCCATTCCATGGGAGGAAGTTGTAATAATACAATGGCCTTTAAGCCGGTTCCACCACAAATCCGCGCTCGACTAAACCGCGTCCGACTAAACCGCGTAGCTGACGTCATCAACAGGGC